TCCCAATTGAAGGACATTCTACAAAATAACTGACTAGCTCTCTTCAAAACTGTCAAGATCATCGTAAATAAAGAAAGCGTGAGAAACTGTCACAACCAAAAGGAACCTAAGGAGACACGATGACTAAAGGTGATGTGATATTCTGGATGGGATCCTGGAACCGAGAAAGGACATTACATAAAAACTAAGGAAATCTAAATGAAATAAGGACTTTAGTTAATAATAACATACCAATACTGGTTCATTAATTGCAACAAATGCACCGTATTAATGTAAGATGTCAATAATAGGAAACTGAATTTGGAAGTATATGGAAATTCTTTGTACTATTATCTTCAGTTTTCCTTTAAAACTAAAACTGTTCTAAAAAACAGAGTATTTTAAAATTGTTTAGAAGTTGACAGTAGGTTTTAAAATGTAAAGTTGCAAGGTAGAATCTATTAGTGTATTTTTAAAATTCTGTTCTATTAAAACCCTTTAGACTTTCTTACGTTTTAAACGAATCTTTTGTCATGTTTGATTTTGTAAAAGTATGCAATGGTTGTTAGAAAATATTGATTCAATGAGTTATGTAGATCTTCCAAATGCTAACATATTTAATTATACAATGTCAAAATGTTATATTTGTTAATATCACCATCAATCTCATCAGAAAAAAAAATGCATAAAAATTGGGAAGCTGTCAAGTTCATGGTGGTGGCAACAAGTCTTGCAAATTCTAATTTTCACTTGTTTGCTCAAATGTTATCACTGGCAACAACTACTCTTAGTTGTTTTTCTCAAAGTGACAATCTTACTTAAAGCATTTTCAAGAAAACGTCTGTCAAACATTATGAGGAAATATCCGCCAAGCCTGAATAACCATAGTTTGTCCCTCATTCTTTCGAGTAAAAGTGGCATAGCATGAAAAAAGCGGCTAATCCAGCTAGCGACTCAAACAATTGCGCAGGTGCTTTTCCTCAGGACAATCGTACTCGATATACAGCAGAAGTGCTTTATGTGTCCTTCCCTCATTATGAAGAATATTAAAAAGACACATTCTCAAGGGTTGCTATTTCACAAAGTTGATCATTTTTACTGCGTCCTCAATGACATTGTTGAGTGAAAGTGGATTATTTTTTGCAATGATTACATAAGGAATGAAGAACACAGTATGGTTCAGTGCTATGGCCTTGATTCAGCTAAGGCTCCAGCAATTTAACCCACCATTGTTTTTGTACCATTTATTGCAAATGTCACCACAGTGAAAAAGGCAAAAGTGTCCTAGTATTATTATAGAGAGTTCTGACCTCAAGGACTCCTAAGAACCACATCTGAGAACAACTTACTTAAGCAACCATATTTCTGACTTCTCCGCTATCCTCTGGTTGTGCCAAGTAACTGTGTCAAGGTCAGGGATGAAACCTAAAAGCTCATGTCATGTCCACAGAGACAAATCTGCTTCACTTCCCTTTTACCACCACGTTGACACAGAAGGGGTTACAGGGAACTAAGACCACCCGAACGCACTCCCCTTTACCCGCCCACGGTTCCCTAGGACAGGGCTTCCCGACCTTTCTCATATCGTAACAGGGAGAGAAAATGGTAATGTTTTCAGTAAGGAGTAAAGGAATGAGGCTGCCTAAGGCTTAAGGTCCCCAGCCTGGAGGTATAGGTTCTATATAGCCTTCAGTAGGTCGTAGGGGTCAGTTGCTGTGCCCATTCCCATGGGTTTGTCAAGGAGTTGGACAGTTCTGTACTAAGGTTCTCAGTTCACCTGGGGCTCTCAGACTCAATCTCTATTCCATACCCCGCTTCATGCTCCATGGAAGGCTCAAAACTTATTCAAATGTGTAAATTCACAAAGTACCTGATTGTATTTCATGGAAGAACCAGAATTATATTAATGTAATTAATGTAACTTGATGTAACTTGTCCAGACAGTTTCAGATAAGAATGTAGTGATTAAGAGCGCAGTCTTATTCCCCAGACTACCAAGGAGTTCAAAACCTTGGCTCTGCCACTTACTAGCTGTGTGACCCTGCGATAGTAACTGAAGATCTCTGTGCCTAAATTTGTCCACCTATGAAATGGGGACAATACTACTGTCTACCTATTTTAAGTATAAAATCAGTTAATACAGTAAAAAGTGCTTAGAGCGATGCCTGATAAATGGCAATGTTTGCTATTATTATTATTATGCAGGTGCTACAGAGCCTCCTAATTGGGACTACATCTCTGAGCACAACAGTGTTAAACTGCAAATCTGCAAAGAAAGAGAATTCCAGATACACCAGTAGGCTCCGTAAGACAGGGAAGCAAGAGAGGGAGAGAGAGAAGGGAATGTCCCGGGCCTTTTTAGTGTACTTATGGCATACACCAAGAGTTTATACTCAAAATCTTCTTTTCCCTATCAAGACACAAAGAGATTCGTTTCTACCTAATATATACGTCTAAATATATATTATTTTTCCTTGGGAGGGAGCATGGTGAAAAAATAATCATTACGGACTATCGACCCATCCATTTCTTGCCAAAGGTTTTTTTCATGATGGTGTCAGGAGCTGTGGTTGGATGAGCTTGGGGCTTCAAGAGCCTCCTGGAGCAAGAGCAGGTGACCCAGAGCTGGGACTGTCGCAGGCACACCAGCTTCTTTACCTTGGGTTGGATGTGGTTTTTCTTCACCGAACAGTTTTTGGCAACTACTTAGCATGGCTCCCAAGATCATTATAACTAATTAAGAGGTTATATCTGAAGCTGAATGATTTCAAGAGTCCTCTTCACGTAAGTATTCAGTATCTGCATTGCCACAGTTATAAAGTTGAAAAGAAATACAAAATTATCATAACAAGAAAATAGTCACGAATGAACCGACCCTTAAAAACGTAGCCTGTCCTCAAACATCCCTCACAGCTTAATACTAGCACCTAACCCCAGCCATCATGTCGGTGTCTTTTGGCAGCCATGCGGCGCTTGTCTGCTGTAGCAAACGTGACACAATTACAATGCAGGTAAAACGCAAACCTAGTCATACAAAGATGCTGACCAATGAAGATCTCACCAACTTGAGCGAGAAAGGAAATCAACAAAACTTTAAAAGAAACTAATTGAAATATTCACAAATAAAAAGATTTTGAAAGAAACTCAGGAAATCCTTAAAGGTGTTTGTAAAAATGATTTTCTATGTACCTGAAAGACCAAATCATGAAGTGTGAGATATACTAATTTATTAAAACTTTGTCAAGAAAGTTATGCCAAAAATAAATAGTAATTTGGCCCTGGCTGGGTAGGTCAGTTCATTAACGTGCTGTCCTGATACAACAAGGAGGCAGGTTCAGTCCCCAGTCAGGGCACATATAAGGAGCAACCAATGAATGCATAAATAAGTGGAACAACAAATTGATGTTGCTCCTCAACAAATTGATGTCTCTCAAAAAAAAAAAAAATCAATCAATAAAAAAAATTTTAAATAGTACTTTGTTCATTGCCATTCTAAGGAATTTAGTTCATAATGCTATTATAATCCACATTTTTATCAAATAAGATAAAAATGACTTACTTTTATGTTATTTTTATTTTTCAAGATAAATTCCCAATTAATTGTCTTCCCCACTACCTTCAAACCATAGACTGAAGATTTTGATCCCTGTTTAGTAGCCTTTTCCTGGTACTAGGTCTCCTAAAGTCATGAACATATTAAAAATATAGATAAATACTGTGTTTTTATCTACTCAGTATGAGCCCCAAGAGACCGTCTCCACCTTACTACCCCCAGGCACAACTGGTCTGTCCTCCCCTTCTCACCAGGGCCCCTCAGTGGAAGAAGGAGGAGTTTTATCTTTTGGACACACAATATTTTTCTCAAGTTTATTTCTCTGGCAGAGTACATAAAACTTAAATGGAAGCCTTAATAAAATTTTTGTCTGGAGATATTAGGTTATTAGGACCGTGATAAGATCGATCCAGTAGAAGTGTGAAGGGTCCATATCGCCCAGAATAACTTTCACTAACTGGGAGACTGACATTATCACCCTGTCAGATGATCCTACTTGATCCTAAACCTTATTGATTTTGAAGTACTTTATTTCTGTAATAAAAAGTGTAAATTGGAGTCATCTCACTTGTTTAAAAATGACAAATGTACATTGGTTAGAAGTAATTAAGACACTAGCTAGCTTTTAAGAAGAGTGGTCATGAAATGGATGGCAAATACAAATGAAGACTTCTTCCCCCTTACTAAAAAATAATTGTTTTTAGTTACCTAAAAGTCAAGATAAATCAGAGATCAGCTGGAATGATAATTTATACAAAACAATTGTGTTATTATGCTTAAAGGTATGTGTAATTTGGATTTGCTTTTTCTCAAGGTTTAGAGTCAAAAAATATATTGAATATCCATTAAGTACTGAGAATTCCAGAGCTTTTAAAAGCTGTAACTCATGTCTATAATGAATCTGCAATCAAGGTCTTTCTCATTTATATGAATGCATGTATATGGACCTTTTTCTCAGTTGAATATATTATTATATAACATATATAGCACAGTTATAAATATTCACTTTCTTTGACCCTGGCACAAATAGGCCAGATAATACAGCAATAATACATGGGTAATAAGAATGAGGAATAGAAATTCTTTTGTCATACTTCCTTGGATCATGGTAATATTACTTCATCTTCTTTTTCCCACATACTAACCTCACCTCAATTAAAAAATAATAATTATCTTATGCTTCACTTTTATAAAATATTCCTAATACTGATTTTAGTTTTGTTTCTAGCAACAGTTGACAGTTCTCTCTGTATTTCTAATTTTTGTTTTAGAGTCCAAGCGCAAATTTTGTGCCAATATCTATAAAAAGCACATGGCATATACAGATGAGTATTTCCTTTAATGAGACTTTTAAATCAGTTCTGACTCTGTGAGTAGTATTTTAAAATCTGAAAGAAGCAGAGAGGAGAATATGAAGTGTTTTAACATGTGAAAGGGCCAATGAGTCTGGACGTGTCTGGATACTTACTCTCTCACACAGCTCTTCAAATGTGCAGTCGGCCACGGTTCCACAGGCTTTATTCAGCCACAGCTCTCTGCCTTGCACTTTTAGAATCCTTGGTCTAGTTACTATGGGAACATGAACAAAGACTCAATCTTGTCTGGATAATTACTATAAAATTCATCTCTTACAGATAGGAAATGCATAGCTTGATGAATAATAGCACATGATTCAACACATAAATTAGACAAAATGCTGATACAATGACTGCCACTTGAGCGTGGCATCAACCCATATACAGCAATGGAACTTATTAATTGGTCAGTGGAGATTGGGCATTGTGTTCTAAATGTATTCTCTTTCAAGAGAAATTAACTTACGTACAATCATTTTGTTTCTGAGCCAGCTCATCAAACAACTTATCCATGACAGCCTCCACATCAGCTTCACTTGTGCTACAGTGAAAAGAATAATAGAATATGAAATTAATAACACTTGAAGCCAACATCAAACAGCTGCCGGAGCCTGCTTAGCTTTTTGCCCATAAAAAAAGAGAACAGGATGTTATGCTCTAAATACAAACATTAGATTTAGAATACACTTAAAAGCAGAGAATATTAACTCTCAGGTAGATGATTCTGCCTTATTTGCATACACTGAAAGACTTCTGTGCTTCTGGCTGTTTCCAGTAATGAGACGATACAGGCAGAGTAAATCCATTAATACTATGTGTACACAATGAGAAGAAAGGCTTCTGGCTCTCTCTTGCATGCAAAACAAGAGCAAATAGACAAGGCAGTCAAGCATCCAGCAAAGTATCCTTTGAAATCTCTACCGAGAGGCTACATGTGAAATTAAATATTGAAACTGCTTTTTTAAAAAATCAAGTCAAGCCACTGACTGAGAGAGGATCAAGCATCCAGAATTAAATTACCAGCTTCGAAATACCAACTTGATGTGCACATCAGTAATTTTATCAGACTTTGAGTAGAAGGACACTTATAAACCACAGAGTTTCTCTTAACAGTGTCCTGGTTGAAAATTCAAGAAAACTCTCTCCTCCTTCTGTGACGCCCACCATTGCAGCTACTATGAAGTCAGTCTCATCGAAGAACCTTTTGTATTCTAATTAAAAATCGCCATATGGTTTAGGGAACCTACATATATACATGTGATAATACTATGGCCTTTTCTTCCTCTCACCTTTTTTTCAAGAGGAGTTGATAAATTAACAGTCAATAAAATTAAATAACTGGCAGAAGAAAGAAATGCTGTTAAAAAAACTTCAAGTGAAAATGGAAGTTTACTTCAACTTTATCTACATACAAACTTAGAATGACTGACCAATATGCTTAATTTTCACACACACATCACTCTTATCTAGGCGTAGAAGCGAAGCAAACTCAATTCTGGACATGCATCTTAATAAAGTTGTTCTGAAAATTAATATGATAAATTACTTTCTCTTTAGATTGAGCTTAAACTAAACCAAACTAATGTCTCCCTTGAGATAATTATCAGGTGGCAGGCATTTAACACACAAACGATTCTTCAACTGCTCTATAGCAAATGCCTTTAAACTGCAACAAATCACAGAGCCATTATGAAGGGCTTGGAATTGTCATATTCCAAATAATAACTGCTTCATGTCAAAGGATCTTAAAAATACCATTTGCAATGCTTAACTTTGTAGGGGACGTGATATTTGACTTACATAAAGCCTTGTACAACATTTGAACAGAACTATATTGAGATAATAAAATGACACTACAGAAAGAGTGATTAAGAGTCAAAAAAACAATTTTATTTTTTTATTCTTGCTTATTCTATTACAGTTGTCCCAACTCGTCCCCCTTTGTCCTCCTCCATCCAGCCCACACCCCACTCCCACAGTCCATCCCCACCCCCTTGTCCACGGATCATTCACACATGTTCTTTGACTAATCCCTTCCCCTTCTCTCCACTATTCCCCTCTCCCACTTTCCTCTGGCAGCTGTCAGTCTGTTCCCTGTCTCCATGTCTCGGGTTCTGTTTTGCTTGTTAGTTTACTCTGTTCATTAGCATCCTCTTATAAGTGAGATCATATGGTATTTGTCTTTCACCAACTGGCTCATTTCACTTAGCATAATGCTCTCCAGGTCCATCCATGCTGTTGCAAAGGGTAGGAGTTTCTTCTTCTTTCTTTGTGCCACATAGTATTCCATTGTATAAATGTACCACAGTTTTTTAATCCATTCATCTACTGATGAACACTTAGGCTATTTCCAACACTTGGCTATGTAAATAGTGCTGTTATGAACACAGTGGTGCATAAGTTCTTTTGACTTGGTGCCTTGGGATTCTTAAGGTATATTCCAAGCAGTGGAATTGCTGGGTCAAAAGGCAGTTCCATTTTTAACTTTTTGAGGAAATTCCATACTGTTTCCCACAGTTGCTGCACCAGTCTGCATTCCCACCAACAGTGCACTAGGATTCCCTTTTCTCCACATCCTTGCCAGCACTTGTTTGTTGATTTGTTAATGATGGCCATTCTGATCTTTGTGAGGTGGTATCTCATTGTGGTTTTAATTTGCATCACTCTAATGGCTAGTGATGTTGAACTTTTTTTTTATATGTCTATGGGCCATGCGTGTGACCTCCCCGGAGAAGTGTCTATTCAGGTCCTTTGCCCATATTTTAATTGGATTGTTTGTCTTCTTGGTGTTAAGTTATATGAGTTCTTAATCTTTTGGAGATTAAACCCTTGTCTGATGTATCATTGGCAAATATGTTTTCCCATATAGTCAGTTCCCTTTCCATTTTGTTGATGTTTTCTTTAGCCATGCAGAAGCTTTTTGGTTTGATGTAGTCCCATTTGTTTATTTTTTTCCTTTATTTTAAAGGTACAAAGAAATCACAAGAGCCAACATAAATGTCAATGCCCATGTCAAGCACGGGCGTGTTTAGATGGCTTTGCCAACCTAAGTCTTGGTAATTCATTTGGAATTGCTTTCATCTTGTGGTGGTGGTGTACATGTGCAAAACTGTTGGGGAAGTGAGCTCCTTTTTGAGAGAGAAAAAGCAGAGAGTGATGCCAGCCACCCAGAGTGTTTGCTGCCTTTCAAAAAGTTAACCTCTCCTTAGGACAGGCATGTGGCCCAATATAGGAGGAGAACTAAATTTTGATACATTACCAAGAGAGAAGACACTTAATTTCTAAAAGCATATTTGGTAAATGAACAATAGCTTACAAACTTCCTTAGTGATGATATCTTTTTTACTCCGTGCTCTAATATATTATAATATAAAGCGTGGCTCACTCAACTTTAGTCAGGCCACACTATCTATGTCATCTATGAAATTCCTCTATGCCATTTCATTTATGGTGACAGTGTATGTGAAATCACACAATTACTTTTATTATAACAGTATCTTATAAGAATTCTATTACATGATCATAAAATGTTACTCAGAAGTTACAACACACAAACTAAAAAATTTTATTGGTGTTAAGTGGCCTAAAAAATAAATATTTGTAAAAACATTTTATGGAACGTACAGTTGAACAGACTTATTCATCTATGCCAACTTGCATTTGACCTCAGAAAGTAAGTTCTACTGACCTTCTTGAGGACAGGACCTTTGTCTTCATATTGTCTTAAAAGCACAAGGGGCTAGTGTGTGTTTTGGTTTCATGAGATGTGTCTATGTTGATATAAAATAAGTAAGGACACTATGAAAGGAATGCTTACCATGATTCCAATGTATTCAAGATCCCTTAACAAATGCCTTACAAGATAATACTAGTCTTCCCACATTCCATTCAGATTTCAGATTTCTCTACTTAAGAGTATTTACCAGAGTTCATCAATTTTTTTAAGGAGGAGAATTAGAAAATAAAGTAAAAAGTAAAAAATAAAACTTATCTACCTAGATTAGTTTAAAAGATTAGGCTTTAGTTATTATCCAGGTTCATATCTGGTTTAAACATCTCTGAGTATGTATGTAATTCTAGTGAAAATTTTGGATGATTTTTAACTATTTTAATGTGTCACACAGGGAACAACTAAAGAGCTACCGTTTGCTGAGCAAGTATTATGTAGCAGCTACTCTACCTATACCACTCCCACCTCACCAGGTAGAATGATATCCTACTTTTACAGACAAGAAAACAGATTCAGAGAACTAAGTCACTTAATCTATCTCAATACATAAAAATTTAAGTTTGCTGCATCACAGAAAATATTATAAATAAAATACATAAGCATATTAAACCAGAAACATAGTGGCAACATTTGTGGCATACATTTAATATTACCAATGTATTAAAAAGCTCCAACAGATTAAAAAAACTGAATATCCCAACAGAAAAACTGTGAAAGGACCTGAACAGGCAAACTACATAAAAAATATAGCTCAATGGGCAAGAAGCATGTGTAAAATTGTTTATTTTTACTAGTAACAACAAATGCAAACCAAGACCATAAGATGCCACTCTTTTATCCAAACTGGCAGAGATAAGGAAAAAGATAAAATACTCAGAGCAAATGTAAGTATGGGGGAAAAGAATGCTCTCTGCACTGCTGAGAGGAGTGTAAAATTGGTACAAGGTCTCATTCAACTGGATAATGTGTAATAAAAGTACTATAAACATGCATCTCACATCACCAGCTATTCCACTCATGGGCGTTTCACCTATAAAAATGGTAATGGTTAACAAGCATAAGGATGTTCACTGTGATACTATTAACATAAAAATTTTTTAAAAAGAACCTAAATGCCCAATGATAGAGATTGTGATGAAGTACATTTGTATGTAACCATACAATAGAATATTATGCAGTTTTTGAGTGCAACTTTTCCCTCTTGTCCTGGAATTGCAATTGAAGGCCCCAAGTTGATGGCTATAAGGGTTAAGTACCCTCAAATTCTAAAGAGCATCAACAATGAGCCACCAATAACAGGATCCATATTCCCACCCCAATGGTAAATGAAGAGGGGAACCAGACGTACTCCAAATAACCCCCCTCCTAGTCCCCACATCACAGTGTTTTTATAAGGAGGGGAAAAGGGTCAGGAGTCACTGTTCTTCGTGTCTAGGATTTGTGATGACCAGTTTCCCTCCCGTCTCCGTAGGAAAGAAGAGGGGGATTTACCCTCCCCAAAGGCAAGCGATGCAGGGGAAGGGTGTTCTAAGAGAATCACTTAGAAAAACTAGGGGAGTCTGGAGGAAAACAAGACTCCCCTAATTGCTTCCCTTACTTGAATGAGTAGAATTTTAGTAGTTTAAGAAACCAGAACATGGAAGAAGGGGTGCTGAGCCACAATGAGGCAAAGCAGTTCTCACTAAAAAACTCTAAAAGTTCGGCACTACTAAGCACTTCTAAGCAAACTCAAAGAGACAGGTAAAGGCTTAAGTTAGAAACTGCCTGAAAATAAGACAAAGGCAGTTCTGTCTTACCTGGACAGCCAGCTT